GAATCTAGTGGTGCGTGTGTCCTAACGTTGACAAGTTAGGGAACGACAGTGACGTAATGCTGACTGTAGAACTTTATGACAGTAATACTTTACATTAGTGAGTAATATACTATCATGAGAATATTAAGAATATTACTTTTAAATTACTCGCATGCTCAGACTTACTCAGCAAGCTTATGATTTCTTAAAACTATCAGGTTGAATAGGTTCTCTTCTATCAGAATCTGAAGGTAATGTATGGTGTCGATGGATACGCTTGATTGCAGAGATACAAATCATTTTCTGAATGTATGTGATGTATCTAAGCGGTTTCATTAAGCTCCGATATTTTAGGTTAGTGCTGTTCAGCCGAAGCGCTAACGCTCCTTTGAAGGGGTTCGTATTGAAACAGAGTGCTGTGAGTTTGTATTGCATTAGGAGGTGATGAACGCACACAGGAGTGCGGTGGGCATTTCTTCTTTATATCGAACTTTTTGAACATCATTCGACGTTGGTGTTTCCCCTATGTGAATATGTTGACAATAATCAACGTTACGACAGCTGTGAGCTTGACGATGCCGTCATCTTATCATATTTTCTGCTTATTCATCATTCTTCACCACCATCTCATTCATAATTTCTCGGTCATCCAAATGTTTATGACCAAAAACTTACAAATAACGAATACATATCTCCTACAGTGTACTCTTCCAAATCACTTCCATTCCTCGAATAAAACAATTCCATATTAACGAATATAGCAGTCGTGTTGTTCTTCAGTATCAATCATAGGCAAGTCTTTTGTTTATCCGTGCTGTGAAAAAGTACTCACGCGCAAGCAATCGTTTTATTTAATTTGATATGTAATACATCCAATACAACCTGTATATACCAATTAATTCACATGTACCGCCTTAATGCATCACAGGTATCACATTAATATGTTACAAAAATCTTAGGAGTTACCATATTCGAGCAATCACTCTTCTCAGGTCTGCCCAGTAACATGGTAGTTTCTGTGCACCATAAGATTGATAAGGAACATACCAAAATGTGTTTCTTAAAAATGCAAACTTTCGTGGCTTCAGGCTGTTTGTCATCGACCGTGGCTTACAGAATTCAATTGTATCTTCTGTTTGCCCTAGTAATTGAAAAGACTTCGTACAGACGCAGCATGAGTATTGCAATTCTTGCATGTTCAACTTCAACAGATATTCTATAATGGAAGAAAACCTCGTTTGGTTCATATTTCATAATTACCCAAATCATTATAGATCGAGCCGATATTTGGCTTAAATGCTGTCATTTGCACTCCAGATCAGCGCGTTTTGTCGGAGAAAAATGAAAAATTTAATATTGGTAGCAAAATATATACTCTAGTTATAGATATCACATTAATATAAATACCGATATGAATATATGAGATCATAAAGGACATGACTAAAATGTCTTCAAATCGTAGAAATTATCGTATGCATTTGAATATCTTCAACCAACGATCACCGTTAACATACTAAACTTAAATATGAAACAATTCTTTTAAACAATCTAAGAAATCGATTAATAAATTCGTTCGATAGTTAAATGTTGGACATCTTCAGGGAGATATACGGGCCAGCAAGCCATAGAATGGCTCACCTGTCCAACATTTACAATTACAGTTAATGTTATTACCCGTAATTTCGGCCCTTATCTCCGATTACGGGTTAGTTGTGTTAGTATCTTGCAAAACAACATGCGTTTGTTAATGGTATTAATGGATTAGAAAGACAAGGACATACACATGCAAGACAAGGGACGACTTAAGAATATAATGCAATAGATAGCCGTTGTTTGGCATTTCGTTGTGCCATCATGCTCGCAAATTTCGCGTATTTATTATCCGCCAAACTTGCGAGGATGATGGCACAACGTGATGTGCATAAGTGAAAACTAAGTAACTTAGTGCAAAGATGGGAAGTTGCTCTACAAAACATTAGATTGAAAACAGTTATAGCGAATAAATGAAGAAAAATTTTGATTATTTACCCCAACTGATTGGTATCTTTACTAATGATCTTTTTTTCATCACTTAATTCGAATCAGTTCATAATACAATCGACTGTTTGTTGATATTTTACGAAATGAATAAAATAAACCAGATGAATTGCATTTTAGAAATTCAGTGATATTATGATGAGCTGCTGAAATTTCGTAAACCATCTGTGCCGTCATGATAAAACAATGTCGTTTAACAGGAATTATGATCAATGAATGCCAATAAAATCTTACTAACATTTCACTAAAATGCAAATATTCCAAAGATAATATCATAAAATTTTCTGGAACAACGAATGCAGTTTTTTTGGACTATCAACTAAAGAGGATAACTAATTCAGAAAAATGGAAATGCACCTGTCTTCGCGAAACGGAGTTGTCGTGGGACCTGAATAAGGCCTTGAATAGAACCTGAATAGCATTACTGTGGCAAACGCTTGAAGCTATCTATAACACAGAATATCAATGAAACTAGAGTAATAAAAACCATAACATGGAAGAATAAAACAACAACATGAACAAAAAAATTGAACATAAAGCAGCACGAAGTAAAGCAAGTATTTTGCATAAAAAACAAAAACGTATAAAAAACAGAATGCTTGAAGCTATCCACAACACGAGCCATTAAAAAACGATAACATAAAAATGAAACAAATGAAATCAAATACACAATAAAATATCACAACTTCGTTGCTCACAAGAATAAAACAACCACAACAAGAATAATATGAATCGCTTCAAGCTAGCTAAAACATGGCATTATCAAAAACACGATAACATAAATATCAGGACAAAGAAATGGAACAAGAATATAAAACAAAGAGCTTTACACAATCAACTAGCAACATTTGTGCTAACAAGAATAAAACAAAACAATTGCTTGAAGCTAACTGTGACATGATACGTTACTAAAAATATAGCACAGAAAACACAGCAAAAAAATAAAAACATGCAATATGACATTACACGAAACGTAAATAAACACACAACTTGGTTGCATACAGAAGTATGACAGCATAAACGTAAATTAACAGAAAAATCATGCAATAAAATGTCTAAGTCTACATCAAGAATATAGAAATGAACTAGTGAAGCAGCAATTTTTTTTCATTTATTTTTTCTTTTCTTTTATTTTTTTATTTTTTCATTTTTTAATTTTTGATTATTTATTTATTTATTTTCTTTATTTTTTTATTTATTTATTTTTATTTTGTTTTTCTTTCATTTTTTAAATTTTTTTAAATTTTTGCTGCTCAGTTTTTTTATATTTTAGGAAGGTTTCTTGTTCCATGAAGATCCGACCACGTTCACTTACTTGCTGATATGGAATAGCTGGTAGTAAGAATATGCCGAATGCGTTGCGCAGAGAAATTTTTGAATATTTTGATGGAATATTTGCGATGATATAACCTGATGATCGGTTATTTTTGATGGAATATTTGCGAGGATATAACCTGATGATTGGTTCAAACTGAATGACGATTAATAGTAACATTCGTCGTGAACATCTGATGTGGTAATAGTAATACAGTCACAGCAAAGATGCACTGTGCTGGTGAGAAGATTTGATTGATCAGGTGCTACGAACATTCGCGAAAGATTGCTTCTCTCGACTGACGAATTCATGAGAAGATCTCTTCAGAACATCGGAGAGGGGCCAAGCATTTGACCCATCAAAAGTTCTCTCCGATCCATGAAAGGATTAATCCATTGAACGTTGACCGAATTTGATGTTATCTCGGCGATAGCTTCCGTGTGAGATTGGAAAGAGCAATTTGGAGGAAGGAAACGGGGAAGGGGAGGACAGCACTTTAGTTCATATCTCCGAGTGCTTCAGGTATATGACATATTGTCGGAGTTGAAGATGGCAGTAAGTAGGGAATGGAAAAATCCGGATAGCGGTACCTTTGCAACAGCATAGTTTGACTGATTATTTCCGAGTAGCAATCAAATATTCGACGAACGTTGAGAGGAATAACTGCTTGATTGATGAGTCGTTGGCACAATGATCCGGATAGCGGTACCTTTGCAACAGCATAGTTTGACTGATTATTTCCGAGTAGCAATCAAATCCATGAGGTTATCGATCCGAGGAATTCGACGAACGTTAAGAGGAATAACTGCTTGATTGATGAGCCGTTGGCAGAATGGACTGTCGTGTAAGTGAACGTGGCAGTGAGATGCCGATGGCTTTTGCGATGATGTTGACGACTCGACGAGTTATTAGCATTCATTGAATTTACATAATCATAAAGAGTGAATAACATGAATAGATAATACAAATGAAAATAAACTAATCAAACACAACTGAAATAACTTTTTCAACAAAAATTTCATCATTCATCAAACAGTGATTTACGCGTGGCCATAAATGAAGTGAATGCAACGCATCACACTTCTCTTACATTACTCAAACCATCTTATCCACTTGATCAGAACCCAAAAAAGTTCGAAAATCCCCACGCATGAGTCACTCTAATCGAGCTCCAAAATCTCCACGCGTATATCACTGTAATCAGGCTCACAATAATCAAGTTCCATCTAACATTCAACAAAATGCTTCAGTGCACCTCCACTAAAAAAGAAAAAATCTGATATAATCTTAAAAAACACTCATTACATAATAATACATTACCTCATCATCAACTTCGGACACTAAATGCCTCTACATACAATCTTTAACCTAACAAGATTCCTAGACGTATAATATATCAATCACATTGTTAAAATTCCTCTAAGAACAGAAAAAAATTAATATCGCAAAATTCGCTTCTTAGCTGTCACAATAACGCTATCCATACGAAGATACTTTGAATTTCCCCCATTCACTCCTCTGAACTCGAAGGAATAATTGCATTTTAGTTTGTTGCTTAACTATTAAAGATGATCACATTACGTCTGACTGATACTCAAACTTATGGTGTTACTTCCTGACATCTTTGTATCTCATCACTTCTGTGAATTTAACTCCTTAATCTTATCATACAAACAGACTATATCATTCTATCGTAATTCATTAGTTCACACAATTCTAGAGTTGTGTATGAACAAAATTTATCATCTAAGAAACCGACTTCATAATCTTTTTTGTAATTAAGTTCTATTTTCAATGACAAATTATCATTGTTCTTACTTCATCTTCAAGTTTTTTCATTGCTTCCTTTATTCAGCAACTCATCATAATATGAGATCACCCCTTCTATGACTGAAGATTCGTTTACATTGATTTTTTTCACCTTAACTTAAGAAGAACATGTGAGGAGGGACTATATGATAAAATAATCAATGATGAATTCAATAGGTTGCGGCGAATGTGATCATTTTCGAGGGGAGGGATGCGAAAAATTTATTCTATGCTCTCAAAAGAAAAATTCCACAGCCACTGGTGACATGCTTTAAACAAAATTATCTACCGTTCTCACATTGAGTCAAAAGTTTAAGAGCTTCAGAAAAACTTTTGCTTAGAATTAATCCATACCCTAGGTCACTGACTAGTGTTATTGATAAAAATTTTTGTAAGAGGTGCTGAATGCAAGTCTTAATGCACTCATCTCATCAGTATAACAAATTATTTAAGTCACCTCAGCCATACTTCAGTAAACTATTCTCAATAATAATCAAACACGGCATGCAAACACTGCCTACTGAATGCAATGAATTTCATGCAACAAATGAAGAATGATGAAAACAAAAATAACGGTTTAAAACATAACAATATAATGAATCTGGAGGAGCATGGCTGATAATTTTATATACCATTTTTGCCTCATTCCATAAATATTATTGATTGCAGCCCTTCATTTTTCAGNAAAATGTTTAAATATTTCGAAATTAGCAGTGCTCCTCAACCTTCAACTACATCATCTGCTTTCAAGATTCTTTCAACAATGTTCCCAAAACGCCTGCACCTATTTATTTTTCGCTTTTACTGATAACGAATCAGATAATCCGATCATATTTGCGGATAAAATTCCAGTGCAAATACAATCAATATTTGCGAAAGTATGTAGAATTTTGAACTCAAGATTCAAAGTTTCCTCAACAAAAAGTTCGAACTAGCTCAAAACTTCTTGATGAGTGCGATGAAAGCAGATGATATAATACGACGACAAACACAACATGCAAACCAAATTTCAAACCATGTATTGCCGATTTATTAGGCAATTTGCGTCCACTCGAATTACTCCAACCAACGAAATGTTTCGCACATTCCAATGCCAAACCATCCGTCATTATCCAGTCCAGCCATCAGTGATCCATCCATAAATCGACCAATATCCGATGCTCAACATGCTGAAACAGGAAACATGAACACAACTGCAACGTGCTTCCGCACTAACGATATGCAGCCTCCCTTTCTAAAACGTCCAACCAATTTTAAACAGATTTTTCGCCGAGTAATAAAACATTCCAAATGACTCTTAAGAAAAATTCCAGTTCAGTTAGTTGAAACATAATTAGCGGATTCAAACTAATAACTTCAAATATTTTCAAACATTTACATGATTGTGTTAATCGAATGATAAGAACATATAGATGAACTTCATCTGGCTGGTATCATGAAAATTGTACGATGAGGTCACTGAGGACAAATAACCTCGAGAATTAAAAATTGAAATTCTGAAGGCAATTGAAAAAAGCCGACCTTTGGAGATTTTTTCTGATACACTGGCATTGTTTACACCATCCCAAACGTTGACCGTAATGTCGCTGAAGAATCACCAAATTCGTCATCGTCTATTCGGAAATCTACCATCGACTGACATCGCGCCATCCATTTCGATTTGCCGATATGACAGCTGGTACATATTAAAAGGGGCGGGAGGGGGGATGATATTGAAGAATTTGATCATGGCTAAAAGTTGCCATAATCGCTCACAGTTCTCTTACCTTTCAACATACCTGTTTGT